TTTATAGTTTTCTTTTTTTGTTATTATAGTATCCTTTCCCGACTTTGCTAGCAGGTTGATATTGGCTTCATCGAATGAAGTTAGAGAGGATTATCTTCTTTCCAATGTTATGGAATAGTTTCTGCATGACAGGTACCAGTTCTTCTTTATAGGTCTGGTAGAACCTGTCTGGTCCAGGACTTTTTTTGTTGGTAATTTTTTATTAACACTTCAATCTCACTACTCATTATTGGTCTGTTCAGGATTTCTATCTCTTCTGGATTCAGGCTTCAGAGGTTGTATGTTTCCAAGAATTTATCCATTTCCTCTAGATTTTCTAGTTTGTTTTACATAGTATTTATTTTTGCAATATCAGTTATAATGTTTCCTTTTCCATTTCTGATTGAGGTTATTTGAGTCTTTACTCTTCCTATGAAACAAGAGCACAAGAGAGAAAGTAAAACAGTAAGGTTTCATCTAACATGTAGAACAGAACAGTATCTCACATATCAATACTAACAATCAATGTGAATAGTCTGAATGCCCCACTTGAAAGACACAGACTGGCTGAATAGATGAAAAAACACAATTCAACTGTTTGCTGTCTCCAAGAAACACATCTGAACCATAAGGACTCATGCAGACTCAAGGTAATGAGATGGAAAAAAATACTCCATGCAAATAGAAACCAAAATCTTGGTTGAATTTCTCCCTTTAGCATTATATAATGACTGTCTTCATCTTTTTTTTTTTTTTTTACCATTGTTGATTAAAGTCTTTTTTTATCTGCTATGAGAATGGGTGCTTGCTTTTGGTTTCTATTTGGGATCCATTGCCGGAGAGCTGGTGTACTTCATTGGGGGTATACTTTTAACTCTAATTTTTCATACTTCTGAAGTTCTTGCACTGATTCCTTCTCATCTGGAGCAGCTATCACTTTTTTAAAAAAATGTCTTTTGTTTAGATGGATTCCTCCCCCCACTCTTAAGGGTGTGTCTGTAGTATATGTTGAATAAGGACCTTTGGCTTTGCTTGTGGCTACTTTGATGGGGGTCTAGGTTCTAGATGGATACCTTGGTTATCTATTGTGTGATTACTAGTTATTTGTAGGCTGTAGTGGTTGTGTACTATGTACATGGGTAGATTCCCTATTTCTTGTTGACAAGGGATGGTGGAGGTCTTTGAAATCCGTTCTCTTTCCCCAGCCCTGTGGTCTTCTTAACAGTGTGAAGTATATTGGGATGTCCAGTTTCATCTCTGAGACAGTAGGTGGTGTTGGGGGTGATAGTCAACCACATTCTGTGTGCTTGAGTCAGTTTATTCTGTAATGCTGCAATCCCCGACCCCTGGGCTGCAGACTGGTACCAGTCCATGGTCTGTTAGAACCAGGCACCCTGCAGGAGGTGAGTGGCGGGTAAGCAAGAAAAGCTTCATCTGTATTACAGCCATTCCGCTCCCCTTCACTCTTGTCATTGCCTGAGCTCCGCCTCCTGTCAGATCAGCAGCAGCATTAGTTGTAGGAAAACAAGCTAGGGCTCCCACTGATTCTGCATTATGGTGAGTTGTATACTTATTTCATTATATATTACAGTGTAATAATAATAGAAATAAAGTGCACAATAAATGTAATGCACTTGAATCATCCCCAAATGATCCCCTCCCAAGTCTGTCAAAAAATTGTCTTCCATGAAACTCATACCTGGTGCCAAAAGGGTTGGGGACCACTGCTGTAATGGGCCATACAAGTTGTCCTTCTTGCCAGTAGGTGGTGCTTGCAGGAAAAAGCCAGCTGCACTGGGGTTTTTGGGAACTGTGACTGGCTCTAGTCATTCAGGAGAAGCACTTGACTCCCCAGGTGGTGGGTGGGGCCCTGGAGCTCCCAGGAAGCTCCTTGTTCTCCACCACAGCAGAGGTGGGTGGAGGAGTGAGGCTGGGTGGGGCTGGGTCACGAGCCTACGTTCAGTCTCCAGAAACAGCAGGCACCAGAACTGTCTGGCAGTGGTCAAGGGTCTGCTCCCAGACTGCTGGGGGAAGCCACCAGGGAGGGGCTGAGGTGGCCTCACAAAGCCAGAAAATCTGCTCATGGAGGAGGGGCCATCTGGGATTCACAGACTGTCAGGAGTGGGTTTCGCTCCTCTTCTTCTTCCCCTGCCCTGTGAATCTCCTTCCCAGCATCTGGCTGAAAGCAGCAGCCCAAACCAGCTGACCTCGCCAGCAAAGGTGCCGAGAGCTGGGAGCTTCCCTGCCCAAGTTCTTGTCCTAGATCCAAAGCGCAGCTTTCCTGTGGGGGTAGGGGTGCTCCATGAATGCACTGCAGCTGGGACCCACACTGAACTCTCCTTTTAGTTGCGCGCACATGGGCTCCCAAGATTAGTTCACAGATCTCCCCTCCGTGCCCTGAACAATATGACTGAGTCCTGGCAGTAGGAAATCCGGCCTGCATGCCTGTCTTCTGGTTCCCCAAATTCAACCCCTGACCATGCCAGGGTGATATATGCTGGTCTTGAGCTGCCCGGGGAGTGCTCAAGGAGCTTAATAGCCCTCTGCTTTGGGTTATGCCCTGCTCTGTTGAAGTAGCCAGGTGAGCAGCACTGGGAGGGCCAGCAGGCAGGGAGCTCACGATCTGGGCACCCTTTGTTCTGCTGCAGGGTCTTTAAGAGGAAAGGTATGAGCCCTGCTTTCTGTAGGAGCCTGGATGTGGTGGCCATCCCAACAGAGGGGAAGCGGCTGCTGCTGAGAGCCCTGCTCAGGCATCCCTTGTGGACCAGTGCCACTCAACTGCAGTGGGTGGGGCAGGGAGAGGGAAGGAAAGGGTCTGAATGGAGGAGAGATGGTACTCTGTTCCCCTTTGTCACTCTCCCTGAATGGCAGCCCACCCAGAATGTCCAGGCTCTGGGAGCAGGCAGATCCCCTGGGACCCACCAGCCCCCTGTGGCCACTGCAGTCTGGGCAGGAGCTGGGAGATGTTTGTTTGGGGACCAGTGACTTGAAAACTGAATGGCTGAAGCTCCTTGGGGAGGACACAGGCACACAGTGGGTGGACAAGGAGTATGACGCCCACTGCCTTGACTCAGGTCTGTGGTGACAGGGAGTGACCCCAAGGGGGCTGGCGGCCTGGTGCTCTGTTTTCAAGAAGCCCCCAGTCCACTGGCAGCAACAGCTTTTGGTCTCCTGAGGACAGAGGACATCTCCAGTGGCTCTGGAGCCTGCGGACTGCCATGGGGTGAGGGGAGGAGAAACAAAACCCCACTACCGTTTCCACATGGCTCTAAGTTTCTTGGGGGTTGATCTCTGCTGAAATCTTGCTCCTCCTTGTTCTGCTCTGCAATTTCTTCCTATGGAGTCTCCAGTAGGTTCTGGCACTTTTCCCTTGGAATTATACCCGAGCTATGTTTGTTTCCCACCTAAAACTTTCCTCCTTTCCGAGACGACCCGGTGAGCAATGTCTGTAGTCAGCCACCTTGCCCCACACTCCCAGTGTTTTATCTCATTGGAAATGGTTGTCTGTTTTGGCTGTGGAAATTTTTGGTGTTTGGAATAAAAGGACTGGAGAAATAGATTAGATGATTACTGAATCTACTCATGCAAAATTTAAAAATTTCCTTTTGAGATCAAATATCCAACAAGGAGATGCTCCCCGGAAATAGCAGTCTAGGTCAGAGATCCCCAACCTTTTTAAAATGGTTTGGCCTCTTGAAAATCCGTATTTTATCTCTGAGTGTAAATCCCAAGGATTTTATTTTGAGGATATTTTTTTCTTTTTGAGAATTCTTGGACCCACTCTTGAAATTACTGGTTCCATCGCAAGGTACTGAGGATCACTGTTTCATGTCATCCCTCATGTCAGCTTTCCAGCCCGAGGTGTTCGTCCCTTAAAGGCAGACTTTTGAGGCTGGTGTGCAGCTGCGTGTGGTGGAACTTGGCTCTGGAGCCAGGTTGTTTGTGAGAGGTAGCAATATTTTTTTGTCCCCATCCCATAGAGTTCCTTTTATTACCAGAGGCAAGTGGCACAGCCTCAAGGCTCAGCACACAGTATGAACAATTATAGGAACTGAATGAATGCTGCAATTTTATGACTGGTTCCATTTGCCACCAGATGGCTCTATTGTATCATCAAGAAATGCACACATGTGTAAAAGCCATGGTCTCATAAACCATAGGGAAAAAGCAAAGCAGCAGTTAGACCTTTGAAATATGTAGGAACACAGTCCAATTTTTATGGGGTTAATTAGAAGCAGCTACAGCAGCAGGAGTATTCATGGGAAAACAGGGCACACCCAGGGACACTATAGGGAGGTCATAATCCTAGCACATATGAGGTTTTCCTTTTTAAGTTTTCATATTACTTTGTAATTAGTAATTATCATGATAGCCAAAGAGTAGTTAGGAAGCACTCTAATCTCAGCAAGGCCTGTAACTGATATTTCCATACCAATTTTGCATACTCTTCAGCTTGCAGCTGAGAAAAAGTAACTTTAGAAAAAATTTGAAAGGCAAAGTCTATACATCTGCTGATTTGGGTCATATTAGCCATGCTTTGAGGAGGAATGATCTGACTGCAAAGCATGCGTTTGTCTTTGCTTTCATGATACTTGTGATAAGAACAAGAAGGTGAAGGTCAGAGGACACAGGGCTTCTCTGAGTTCCAATCACCCTGTTCCTCCTCATAGGTGATGTTAAAAACACAGGCATTCTAGGTGACATCTTCCATTAGGAATGCGATATTTTGATCCTAACCTCTTGAAGTAAGAATAAAAGTTGCAGAGCAACTCATTTCCAATATGAGTAATTTTATCTGAACTTTCTAAAACTGTTCATTGTCGCCATTTAATTTTTACTCTCCCTTTAGATTCTAAACTTTTAAATGAGACTATGGTTATAAGATTTTGCTGTTTTATCACTGTGTTAGGAAAAAAGGAGAACTTGTATGAGTTTATCAAGCTTATCCTTAGTCTATAAAATTGTTTGAGACACACTCAGGAAACTATGTCAAAAAGTAATACTTGATTATTGTTTTAAAGGGAAAGTCCCTGGACACTGGGCAGATGCCGTTTAACTTGGCCCACCTCAGGTCCTTGGAGATCTGCCTGGAGGAAGCAGAAGAAAAGGCTAGAGCTTTATCCGAGCAGGTAATACCTGTCATGGGAACTGGAAACAAATGCTCCTCAGTGTTCAGTATGGCAAGTGTGAATCTAAACACACACACATGCACACACGCAAGCACACGTACACGCATGTGGGGTGCACACATGCCTGCAGACTGTTTTATCATTCTAGACATGACAGTGTGTACTTTCATCTGTGGGGACCTTTTTGGCCTTTAAAAGTTGTTTCACCTTTATATTTTACTTGATTTTCATTCACCACAGGCCATTGGTAGGGACAGCCTTCTTTAAGCAAGTGGCTTTCCTGAATAAGCAAAGCACCTTTCCATTGTGAGCAGATAGGCCCCAAGATTAAATAAAACCAAGGGAAACCACACTGGAGTAACTTTTTTTGAATTATTTGAGAAAAGTTTACTTGGAAGATAATTTTTTAAATATTGACTTTCCTCTTGGATCTTCGAAACTCACGGAAGCAAAGCCACAGCAGAACGTAGGTGGAGCCTGGCCTGCAGGCCGCACAGGTGCTCTGCGTGTGCCGCAGGTCCCTGACCTCAGAGGCAGTGGCTGTGGGTATCCGCGAAGCTCAGACCAGGGGCTGGGCCATTTCCCAATGAGATCGCACTGTGCAAATAGCACAGGGCGCAGTGCAACTGTTCCTCATTATTGCTTCTCCTCCTGGGCAGAGGGCTTGGCCCAGAAGGCAAAGCTGCCTGGAGTCTGGGCCCCCCCATGGCACAGGGGCACCAGCACTCACTCTTGGTGACAGTCAGTGAAGGAAAAGGACAGACAAGGCCATTAAATGTTATAAAAGTATGTTAATTTCTCATGGACTGATACATTTGGATGAGAATATATTTTAGAAACTTTTAAAAACTAATGTTAATTTTTTTAATAATAAAGATAGTGTCTTTGTGCAGTAAAGTCTAATTGCATCAGAGTTTTATAGGAATTTTTGCAGAAACTAGGGAGAAAAGGTGCTGTGTTATGAGAAAAAGAAGTATAATTAACCTGTGATGTGGCCTTCATTTCTTTTTTTAGCTTACTAAAACAGCTGCAGCCCTTTGGCATGTTTGTTTGTTGTTTACTGACTAAATGTGATTGACACAAGGGGTCACCAGGGGACTTATGTCAATTAATTAAAGTGTGTTGCCCTTTTGGGAAAGTCTCCATCTCCCTCTCAAGCCATGGTAGTAGGCTGCAGGCTGGTTTTTTTTTTCTCTAAAACAAACAAAAACAGGGCTCAAACTGTGGCAAAATTATGAATTACAAAGACCATAATGATGAACTTGAGGTACCATTTCAAAGGATAAAGAAACTAAGAATTTCAGAGCCTCCAAACTAGTTAGTTTTGAACTAACTAGTCACCTCTGCTGACCTTAGGCTGCACTGAGATGTCTTTATTCTGTCATCGAATGGCTTAACGTGCTTTCCCAGTTAACTCAGCCAAGTCCCGTTCACTCACGAATAGGCCCGTTCCTTGTATTCCTTATAAAATATTTTTGCCCAGTACAAATAGCCCCTAATATTTAAGATTCTTAACTGGATGATCCAATTATATAACACCAAATAATTAGATGTGTTTTTTTCAGTGTTTAGCAGATTAAATATATAAAACAGAAACTGCATTTCACTCGATGTCTTTGTACCTTCCATAGGTAAGATGCTGGTTAGATGTTTTGGGGAGAGAGACACAAAAGCCAGGGCTTCTCTACTCAAGTGGGTCACGGACAATAGAATCATTGGAAGAGGCAGGGAATGAAAATAGGCGTTTTTATGACTCCAAGATAAACTGCACTATAGTAGTAAGCTGCAGGGTCTGTGTGTGTTATTGTCCTATACTACAGTTCTTGAAGTTGCCAGATTTGCATAACCAAATCAATTGAATTGGAAGTTGGTCGTGGTTTGAGGACAAGGCGAGTATGATGTGCAAAAAGCACATTGTAGGGATTGTCAATTTTACATTTTTAATTAAGTGGGACATTGTATTAGATTTGGCTGTCTCCTTGGTTATTGTTGAGGCATGTTGGCCAACACAGACACTGTGTTCTCAAAGGATTTAATCCTGAGGTTTTTGCTTTCCTCATGTTTTGAGTCCAGTCTAATCCTTCAAAAGATAAAAACTGTAAGAACAGTGCCTTGTCCTCTATTTTAAAATTTAAATTGACATCTTGAAAAATGAGATGAGAGGACAGAGAAAGGGGAGCAATTGTTATTTCTTAAGAATGTTCTTGAGAATATTTCAGAATGGAACACCTGTCTCAAACAATCAAACTTTTGTCCACTGGGTGCCACTGTCTTCCTTACCAGGCTGTGCCACTAAGGGATTGCAGAAATACTGTGTTTGGTGTTAAAGACCATGATTACTCATGTGTGTGTGTGTGTGTGTGTGTGTGTGTGTGTGTGTGTGTGTATGTGTGTGTGTGTGAAGGAGTATGTTTACCTGCTATACATATTAAGGCTTCTTTTAAATGTCATTAATTTAGGATTTATCACAAGGATGTTGGGAATGCTAGCTGGCCTTCACTGGTAACCCAAATTGTGTATATTAGCCATGCAGCTGAGCACTGGCCAGATGGGCTGGTCCACTGGGGTAGAATGAAGTGGAGAGGGCAGAAGAAAGGGCAACAACAAAGACTTGTGCTGGAACAAAGGAGTGGAAGCTTACAGTATTGTCAACCAGTGGATCTAGCTTTGCAAAAAGGGTTAATCCCACTGTTAGCCAAATCATTACCTCCTGGCTTTGCTTCTTAGAGAAGAACATGGAATTAATTCAGAATGGAAAGTATAGATGCCTGAAGTTGTTGCACCTGTTGGTCCTGAGCCTCAGTTTACTCAAACTGGATGTTTCTCAGGTCCCCGTTAGCAAGGTCTCCCCTAGGGTCCACTAGAAAAAAGAAAAAAATTAGAAATAGTGAAGAGTTAAGGAGATTGTGGCCACTCCCCTGGTGAGGGTGCACAGCAACCAGAATTCTTTTTTGGGCTTCACCCTAGCTAACAATTATTCTGTCTTTCTCTGAAGTCATGCCACTATTGTCAAAATAAAAGAAATATGAGATCAGGATAATTTGCAGTTAACTTTTATCCTGAGTGATAATAAATAACTCAAAACATTACCAAGTTTTGTTTAAGAAAATACTTGATTATATTTCCCGTAGGTGAAGATCAGTGGAAGGAAAGTCAAATGCCTGGAAATTGGGTAGTAGATAAAGAAAAAGGATGCATAAGAAAGGTAGGAAAAGTTCTTAGAATGTGAGAGAAAGAAGAAAAGTAAAAAGAAATCTGGAGATGGCCATGAAAGGCAGTTTTCCCATGTGTGCTGGCTTCTCTCATCAGTGCCGATGGGGGACAAAAATGGGGGCTCTGGTGGACTGCAGTTTGTGGCCATTCGCAAGTAAATAGATCCTGCAGAATTTGTGCTGAGACAGATTCTAAGAAAGTGTCAAGAAAACTCACAATTTCACAATGAAGCACGGTTCCAGATGCTCCCAGTGCAGAGTTCCTGAGAAAACACTCCTTTTGGTAGCAACTTTGGCCTCAAGTGTCCCCCATTCCTCAGGGTTCTGGTTCCTGGCTCCAGCCTGCTCCACTAATTGCCGGCTTTATGACCTTTGGCAATTCACTTCATCTCCCCTTCCACAGTTGTCTTATCTAGAAGGGGATAGACATGCTAGTTTCGGAGGGCTGTTGAGTAGATAAAATGAGATAGAGATCTGCCTCTTGGTAGGTGCTATGGTCTGAATGTTTGTGCTACCCTCAAATGCATATGTTGAAACCTAATCCCCAGTGTGATGGTATTTGCAGGTGATCCTTTGGGGGGGGTGGGATTGGTGTCCTTGCAAAAGAGGTGCAGGGGAGCTCCCTTGCCTCTTCTATCGAACCCGGGAAGTGGGCCCTCACCCTTGCTTTGATCTTGTACTTTCCAGCCTCTAGAACTGTGAGAAATAAATTTCTATGCTTATAAGCTACCTAGTTTATGGTATTTTGTTATAGCAGCCCAAATGGATTAAGACAGTAGGTTCTCAGTAAATATCAATTTATCTCTACTCCGAGCAGTGGTCATAACAGAACTGTGTGATTCCCTTCATTTCTTGAGCCACATCAATTAATCACAGTCCCAACTGATCACAAAAGTCTCTCTCTCTCTCTCTCTCTCTCTCTCTCTTTCACCTATGGGTGTATGTATAAGAAATTCCTTTCCTTATCTTACCTCTCAAAACATTTGAAAGATGGCCCAAATCATAACAGAGCAGTCCTTCTCCAAGAAGAGATCTTATAGTCTCTTGATCAGGAATAGCACCCTGTCCCTGCCCCTCCACCCACTGCCCAAGCTCCCCTGTCCTCATTTGACTGGCTTTTCCACCATCTAGCTTTCTATTCTATTCTTTCTCAGCTTGTCATTTGGTAATGGGACTTTTGCTCTTTAACCTTGTTTTTTTGTTCCTGTTTCATCTCTTGGGGTTCTTTCTGCCTAGTTTTTAATTTTTCCCAAGCTGGGAACTAATGAACAGGACTGGTATCTGGTCATTTCAGAATTTTCTTTGGCAAGCTGAGGATTGGGCAGGGTGATCTGTGGTTATTCTCCCACCAAGGAGGTGAATCTAGGAACAACTACATAGTCAGAAAGAGTTTTGGATATCCTGGGATAATGTACCTAACAAAATATTACTTACATAGTGAGTGTGCCATAAACACTAGCTGGGAAAGAGATTTTATACTTTGATGCCAGGGCTGGGAGGCAGGAGGCTGGGTGGGAACTTGACCTTTTTTCTAGCCATTGTTTCTCCCAGGTAGGGATGAGGCAGGGACAAGCCATGGCAAGGGGCCCCTTGGTGGTCTTTTGGAGTATTTTTCCCCCTTTTGCTTCCATAAAGAGAAGTTTATTGGTTATACTCAAAATGCAGAGACATTCCAATGGAGAAGAACATGGTATTTTCATTTCCCAATATTTGGAAAAAGCATGTGTGAGCATTTTTCTTACTTCTTGGTAGTAGCTCATGTGCCAGTCAGGCACATGCAACATTTCC